GGAGGTTGGTACCCAGGGGCAGTGAGGTGCCAATGATACCTGCTGTGACAGAACAGTCTCACAGCCCAGGTCAGTCACCCACATTTCCACAGCCCTGGCAGCCCCCAGAGCTCTGCTCTCCACCACACACCCACAGACACATCACCCCACACCAGTGAAGACACGACAGCCGTTGGTTAGGCATCAAAATCAGTATTTATTGGGAAACTCTTCACTTGGATACAGGACACTGCTAAATAAAGACAGTGCAGATATGTGAACAGCGGATCAGTCACTCTACAAAAATACCCTCTGTCTCTCCTGAAGCCTGTGCTGTCCTCACTGGGCTCACCCTGGGGTGACAGGAGTGCTGAGCTCCAGAGGAGCTCTCCTGCAGGAGCTTGGTAACACACTGAGCACGTGAGGACACAGCAAGACCTGCTGCCACATCACACAATGCCTTCCTTCCCCAGGCCCAGGGAAATCAAGGCATTTACCTCGTTAACTGATGAGCCTTTACCTGGAGAGGAGCACACGATGCCAACACACACCAAGGACCCACTTTGCACGAGACCAGCACAAACACATCCCTTGGTTGGAGTTCTCTGCATCACTCCTTAGGTGTTGGCAGGTGTCTGTCCACACAAGCCATGACACTTGGGACAGAGAAAGAGAGGGAGGACAGGACATGAACCACCTGCTTAGGGCAGGAGCAGCAAGTGTCCCTGGCCACGGAGGCACTGCACGAGAGGCAGAGCATCCCACTTTGGGAAAAATGACTTTTCCCAATGCTCTCTCCACCCAGCCTCAGTGAGAAGGGCACCAAACACTTGGGAGCAGTTTTCTCCCTTGCCAAGGCCAGGGCAGGAGCTGTGGGAGAGGTAAGAACTGAGTGATGCTCCAGCAGGAGCTGGTTTCAGTCAGAAAGAGCCTCAAGAATAACCCCAAGAATACATTCTGTGTGTTCCCAGACAGCAACTTGAAGAAAACACCACTTACCCCAGGTTACAGCCCTGACACCTGGAGCTCCCCCAAATTCCAAGGAAAATTACCCCAAAGCCACCAAGTACTGCATAACAAACAGGAGAGCTCCAAGAGATTTACTCCCTCCTACAGGGAGGCAGAGAAGTCACCACGATGAGGATGAGGCTCTCACTTCTGCAGCAGAGCCCAAAACTAGGTCAGGAGATGAGGAATTCCTGCTCCTTTTCCACCAGAAAATTCCTGATTTCATCAAGCCAAAGCCAACTAAGATGTGCTAACAGGTACCTAAAGCTCAGCACCACTGCCACTGTGCAGGATGACTAGTTTGGCATTTGAAAAGGCTCAAAAGATTTCTCCTTGAGGAGTTTTCCCTGGAATTCCTAGAAGCAATCCCATGAAACAACAGCCCAGAACTTCTCTCAGAGTGCTCCAGCGAGGGGGTACCACAGCAGGACCCCAAAGTCAGAGTCCCTGGGCAGTCTGGAGAGCAGGATGAAGTGTTTCTGCCCAAAGCCACTGCACAGTGTGAGAGCTGGAGGCAGATCCAGGACCCTCAGCCCCAGAAGAGAAGGATGTCATGCTCAAGCTCTGGCACATCTTGCACAGCACCACGACAGCAGGACCAGGCAGGAGCTCAACACACCAACCCCACACTCTCCCCAGCATGGCAAGGGACTGCACAGAGCAAAACCACACACAAAGAAACCCTTTTTTTTTTTTTTCCCCTCTGTTTTCCCCCCAAGTCTCTGCTGGCTGCTGGAGAAGCAGTTTGGTGTGCAGTGCCCTCACCCCTCAGCAGAGAGACATCAGGAGACTCAGCTCAGCCACTGCTGGTGCCCATCAGCCTCTCCTTACAGCACAGCCATGCCAGCTGCTCCCAACTCTGACTCCTGAGAGCTCCTGCAAAGGTACTGGCTGAAAGAAAAACACTTTCCTCCTGCAGAGAGACAGGCACTCACTGCTGGGACAGCCCAACCCCAGCAAGCTGCACCTTCTGACAGATCCTCCCAGCACAGGGAAGAGTCAGAAACAACACAAATGGAGCCCAACTGTGGGTGCTCATCTGGGCAGGAGATGAACCAGGAGGTTCCCAAAGGCAGGGGCAGAGCACAACACAAGTCCCCTCAGAGAGAGAGAAGCAGCACCTAAGTTCCAGTCATTCCTCTGAATATTTGTCTCCCAAATGCAGAGTTTGTGCCCCCAAAGCACAACCCTGACTTGAAGGGAAACTGCTCTGTGGCCTGTGGTGGTGCTTGCAGTGCCCTGTGAGGAGGATGCACCACCAGTGCACACCCCAGAGCTCTCTGCCCCGTGATGGGAGGGACAGCACACACAGGGCAGAGAGATTCCACTGACTGTGGGTTGTGTCATGTCACCTCCTGGACCACACAACCCTTCAGAGGGGACAGAAACGTCTCATGGCTTCAAACAAGGCTCCAACCAAGCTACAACAGTCTCATTCTCACACTGCCAGGGGAGCTCCAGGCACCACCTGTGTCCCAGGGGGACACGAGATGGGAGCTCAGGTTGTCCTCTCCCAGCAGCAGCTTTCAGCCAGGCCTCAGCTCTGAGCAGCACCAACACTGAGCAGTGCCTGCAGGACAGCCACAGCTTCTGGAGAGCACAAAGGGATCCCCAATCTCCACTCAGGGCACCCCTGGCTTCCCACTCACTCTGCAAACCAGTGGGGAGGAGTGTGGGGAGGAGAACAGACACTCTAGAGCATCAGCTTTCCACCCACACCCACGAACAGCTACTCGAGAAAGCAATAAAATAAACATTCACATCTGCTTATTTAATAGCATCATTGACAACCCAGAGCATGTCCATGTTTTTCCAGGCCCCTTGGAACAAGTGCCATTGGATTTAAAACCTTAAACATTCTTTAAAAGTACTTTAATTCACAGAAATCTTTGTTTCTAATATACAGGAGGTGGTTAGCTTTTAAAATCCATTCTCTTTTTTCATATAATCTCAGTATCTGACTATACAATAACTTTCTATCTATAGCCTCTTCAGACTCCAGTCCAGCTTGCCTGTGCTTTAGGAATATAAAACAAAAAAATAATAAAGTTCTATCCACAATTTTACTAAGGTCATTTCCATAGTTCTCATGTAAAGCTTCTCTTGGAAAGTGCAGTATACACAGGTAATGATACAACACACTTAAGCAATACTTTTATTATAAGTGTAGGTTGGAAAAGAAGAGAAATGTTGGAGACAACAACTGATGGGAGTTCTATGTACAGAACGGGTTCAGCTAAGTGTTGGGAGGGGAAAGGGCAGAGAGATGGAGAGAGGAAAGGAGGAGCCACAACTTGGATTTCATCCCTTCCCAGCGAGGTCAGCACAGACATGTTCAGTCGCTCGTGGGGAACTGCACTGGTACTAACACAGCTACAACACATACACAGGGCAGCAGAAGCTAGGAGAGTTCCACTACAGAGGAGGAGGAGGAGGAGGAGGAGTCCTTGAAAATGATTGAAATCTGCCCAGGAAGGGCCTTCAAACAAGGAGAGAGAAATTCCAGGCTCGAGGATAAGCCAAGGAGAACGAGTTGAGCGTTTCCAGCTAGTTGACAAACTAAGCATGGGAAGGGTGAAAGAAAAAGGGGAACCCACAGAGTTGGAAACCACCTGACCCGAGTGCATGCGAGTTCACAGAGACTGGGGGTGCAGAGCAGCCCAGGGAGCCTTGGCCTGCTGCAGGGAATGGGTTACAGGGACTGCAGGAGCCTTGGCCTGCTGCAGGGAATGGGTCACAGGGACTGCAGGAGCCTTGGCCTGCTGCAGGGAATGGGTCAACGAGACTGCCAGAGCCTTA